TGTTATGGGCAAATAATCAACAAATAGGTTAACACCACGATGTTGATTATTTGCCTACATCAGCATGTCCCGAAGTAATTTATTCCTCTCATACCACAGGAATTTACAAATGATTACATTTTTTTTTATTTATTACATAATTTGTAATTTTTATCCATTTATAGTTACATAGGAAACAGGTTAGCTGCTGTCATCACTTATAACAGCTATAAACAGCTGTTCCTCTCACCAGCCTGTCATTTTTCTTTTTCTTGAACTTAATAAGACAAAGAAAAGTAGCATGCCATGTTACAGACACATGGCAAAGCTCTCTGTCCCCTGTCTGTTACTATAGAAACAACATTGTAGTAGAACAAGCGCATTAATATAAACCTGTGATTTGAATTACGGCTGGCACTACTGTCAGAGCTGCTGTTCTAGAAAATGAATCAGCACCTTCAGAATAAAGTATTCAGCAGCGCTGTGGTGTAATGATATTTGGGAAACTGCAGGCTGTTTCACTTTCAGGAACATTCAGGGACTGGATGAATGTTGCCAAACGTGATGTTGACCCAAGTCTTTGAAACTTGCCAAGACCAACAGTACAGAAGTAATTAAAGCTGTTATTAAAAGATTTAGTGTTACTACTTTCTGTCATCTACTATTGTCATTCTTATTATTTATTTTCATGTTTTTAATCTTTTCATTTAAGAAATTCATGAAGTCATTACTACCATTGGGATCTGTGGTTCTGTGACTGCTCGGTTTCCTGGTCAGTCTAGCTACTAGGGTTAACCTAGGATTATGTTAGATGTCTGCAGACTGTGCAACCTTCAGCGCCTGTTCATAGGTTATTATTCTATCGTTTCATGGAATCTGAAAAACCTCCAAATGCAGAACTCATCTCATTGCTGATGTTCTCATGCATGTAGTGCCTTATTTGTGTACATAACATTTAAGTCTGTGTGTAATTTCTGTCTGTCCAAATACTTCTGTGTTCTATGTAAAGTATTTATACACGTGTTTATAGTTAAAGTTCATGATTTGACTGGCATGCAATATTTTTAATTTACATCACAGCTCTGTTGAATATTCGAATCAGATTCTTCAGAATCAGCTCTGTCAAGCTGCAAGGCATATCACCCGTTTAGATGATGTTTTCTGTGAGAAGGTGGCTATTACACATTTTTGGACGGAGTCTCCAGTGTTAGCACTTTGGTCAGTAAGGTTTCAGACATGGAAAAGTCCTCGAGACTTTAGATAGCTTTGTTGTATTTTTTTATCTTATGAACTTGATGAGAGAGGAAAAAGAGAGGCTGGTGAGGGAACGAATGTTTGTAGCTGCTATAACATGAGCTGCTAAAAAAAACCAACTTGCTTTGTGGACATTCCGCAACATTAAAAGTAACTAAAAACAGATAATAAGTATCACATGTCATTTTTTAAATAAATAAAAATTGGTAGCATTGGCAAACCGCTGAATTATAAGAGGAGTAAAACAGTTCTGGACACGCTGTTATAGGAAAATAGGAAAAAACTTCGCCGCATGACACCACCACGTATTATGCTATAACTGCACATCCTATCACATTTTATTCCTTACATAAACGCGTCTTGATCTTGGACAATAGTGACCAGAAAAAGACGGATGTTTCAACAGGAAAAAGAAGCACCACCATTCCTCATTCCCATTGACAGTCACCAAATCACTTCCCTTCTAATTTGTAGTGAGAATCTCTGCTCAACTTTATCTCCTTGCCTGGTCATGCCCACTTCAATTCGTCAGCGGTCGATGTAAATTACCGCTCTCACTGAAAATGAATGAGTTCCGACCGCATTGTTGATTTGATGCTTGCTGCTGTGAACACATGGTTCTTTGGGTGAGAACAGTTCACAATCAGCAACGTGCTCGAGCCCAGAGGCTTTTACATTCTTTACGACCACAAAGGTCTAGACTCAAAAACAACATGAGGTCGTATATAAACCATACCCACCCAACCACCAGACCAAACACACCAAACCCACATATGATTCTTTCCTTTGTTTGCCAACTTGAAATAACCACAAAATAAAACATGAGAGGAAATTCTTTATGGCTGAGCTACCTGCCCAAAATAAGCTGAAAATACAAGCTAACCTATTAGGAAAAGTAAATAAAAAGTCAACCAAAGCGATCTCCATAAATAGAAACCAGGAGAAACAATTTAGACTAAACAAAACAAGCAGCTCACCCCCTATGTGTAGATTAGTTTACAGAGAAATCATTCTGTATCCATAACACGTCTGCCTCCAGAACAGGTCTGAGAAGGTTAAACGTAACGTAACTACGTGGCTAGTTAAGTTTTTACACTAGTGACTAGCAGATTGTGAGTCCAACACTGACATGTCCAACATTTTCAATAAAACAATCAAATGAAATTGTGGTTAGTTAAGGTTACAAATCTTTACAGGTTTTACTGCTAGCAGCTGGATTCCATTAAATGTATTTATTTTTGTAATAAAATGTAATTTATGTAATCATCTAATGTTAGAAAGTGGTAGATACCCTGTTGTGGAAGCCCATGGCAGGGACGTTACACTTCACAGCTGCATCCTCCTCATGACTGCAGCCCAGAGCTTCTCTGTTAAAGTAACACTCAGTCAGAGACTTCTCGAACCCTGAGCAATCCACCTCGTTCATGTGCACCGGGCCCATTCCTACACACACACACACACACACACACACACAGCTCACATGAATCATTACACAGTAACGGTGAGATATATCCATTTGAGTTAGTTATGGTGTACTGTATATACAGTTATTCTGATAGCTGATAAAGTAGGAACATTTATAAAACCTGATCCACTAAATATCTCATTCCTATTAATTATATTTCTTTGTCTTCTTTATTTTGTCAGTGCAAACTTTTGCACTTATCAGTATAAAGTAAAAACAGATTCAATTACATGAGAAAAGAAACACACCAGATTAGGTATATGTTATGTTTATAGCCTGAAATTTAAGACCATGTCAGTTGGAAGTTAAGACAACGTAAAACTAATTAAGCCTCCATAAAGTGTAATTTCAGACAAATAAACAGCAGACAGACTTGAGTAGGACTGTTTCATAATCTTAAATGATGAACAAAATAATGGAAACATAGCCTTCAGCCATTAAAGTTAATACACAAAGGACCACAAAGTGGCATTGCCAGCATTTCTCTTTTCTAAAGTGGTCAAAAAAAAAATAGCAAAAACTTCTGCACTCGAAGGTGTTGTTTTTAGTTTTAAAAAAATGTGTTTATAGGCATGAAATAATCATATCGTTTTAAAAAAGTCCTTAAAGGTTCCTTTTCCATAATCAGCAACTTCACCTCGAATACGTCATTAGTTTTAGCAGAGGGGGAGGAGTCAGAAGGGGGAAAGGAAAGATTTGACAGTGGGTCATTAAAACTTATTATTATTCGTCTCTAAACATTGAAAGCTGCTCCTTTAAGATGTTACATTAAAGCTGTTATCAAACAGACCACATATTTACGAGTTAGAAGTGCTAATATGAATATTTAGGAAAAATGTGCCAATGCTAGGTGCCATGCTGATAAATAATGGATTTCTGAATAAATGACTGAGGACAATTTTGGATTAGTCTCAGTCTTTCACTCAGACATATGGGATGCAACTGAAGAACATGTGGTTATCTGATGTGAACAGATGGTGAGTGGATGTTAAAACAGTTTTGCAGCTGGACAAGACTCTAAGGATTCCTTTTGTCTGCTGCTCCTGATGAATGAAGAGAATTTTTTTTTATCTAACTCCACTGATGTGTGACGACGGACAGTCCGTCTGAGAATCAGCTTACACTACAGTCTCCAGCAGTGTTTAACAGTTTACATAAAAGACTCTGTACATAAAGTTGAGCTAAAAGTTCAGAGTTGAGTAAAAACTACAGAGAATTATTGAAGCCGCAATTTCCCCCTTTTTATTAATGAATCCATTAAAATAATGAAACAGATCAAGTGTTTAGCTGTGTGAAATATCCTCACACAAAAGTGAAAACTATCTGTTCTTTCATTTCATTTAGAAATCATATTTCCTTTAAATAGATGATGACCACGGTCATTTTGATCTGAGAGGAAGTAGTTAAATTTAAACTAGTGGTAAGCTCATACTATTTCTTGTGTTTTCAAAAAGATTCCACATGAAAAGTCCACTCTTGTGGTATTCATGACATCAAATGTCCAAATTTTTTTTTAATACAGCTGAGTTATTGAGTCATGATGCAGTGTTGATGTTTCTCAATATTGCAGAACCCACAGAAGTTCAGCTAGCGGTTGATGCTAAGCGTAATTACAGTGTAATTTTAGCTGTACGGAGTCTTTTCTTAGGCACTTACCAACACATCTGAGGAAAATGTCGATATTTCTGACACTGCTGTCTCATTTCCACTGTCATTGTGCCTTTACATTGTTTGTAAAAGACTTAATGGCTATGTTGAAGCTAGCTAAAACTGTTAGTGTCAGTCATTATCTACGATTTTAACTAAAATGTTAGTTGTTTGCTATAAAATATGGGCAGATGGAACAGAACAAGGCTAAGTAGTAAACTCACACAACTTGGTATGTACTGTGTAATGTGTAGCGTTTTAGTGAGCGATACACACCTTGCCCCATTCGTGCCCCAGTCAGAGCTTCTTTAGCAGTGCCAAAGCCCAACTCTCGACACACCACACTGGCAGCTTTCATGTTCCAGTTATCGTCACACACTGTTCCCCAAATGCCGTTCTTCAGCACTTCCACTCGACCTTCGCCCACCTTCCCCCCTCCACGTAGACGCACCAGGGGTTGCTGGAGGAAAATATAAATAAAGTAGATATTTGTTGATCTATTTCATAATAAAAACAGATCACATACAGTACGACAACCTGAACATTTTATAGTCCACATGACAAACTGAAGCTTATCCTGCTCTATGTGGGAAACATTTACAAACAGAAATCACTTTGCAGATTAATTGTTCATATAATATACCAATATGTTGGGTCCCTGAAGGACTAGTGGTTAGGCTTTGGCGCTCTAACTGCCGCGGCCCTGGTTCGATTCCCAGCTAGGAAACCAACCGCAGCCAGTGGGGCTGCACAAGACAGCGCATTCCCAGTGCTGGTCCCAAGCCCGGATAAAATTGGGGAGGGGTTGTGTCAGGAAGGGCATACTGTATAAAAATTCTTTCCAGGTTTTTGACTCTGCGTCTACAATTGTGCCAAAAAGTGAACAACAAATTTTAGGATGCCTATAATAAAAGATGACTTCTATCTATGAACAGTCTGATCCTCATGTAGAGCTTTAGTCCTGCTATAATGGCATGCTTGCACTTCATGAAACAGGTGGAACCGAAGTGGGACGGAATATTTGGGACAAAATATGTCCTCCAGATTAGCTGGTGATGATGTACGATTTTAGTCATGGCTAGCAATGTCATGGTAACAAAATATTAAATAAAATATATTATAGGTGGTGGTGTAGCTCCAGGGTCATCAGTTTGATCCTGAGCTTGGGTTACTGTCTGTGTGGAGTTTCGCATGTACTCCTCATGTCCATATGGGTTTCCTCAGGGTTCTCCAGTTTCCTCCTACCTCCAAAAACATTCCAGGAAGTGGACTGGCTACACTACATTGCCTGTAGGTGAGAATGTGTGTGAATGTGTGTGTGCATGGTGCCCTGCAATGGATTGTCGACACATGCATGTATTCCTGTTTCACACCCAGAGTTCCTAAGTTGGACTCCAGATTCCACTGCAATCCTGACCAGGATAAAGCTGAATATGAATGAATGAATTATAGTGTCTGTGTGTATATATACATATATACATACATATATATATATATATATATATAACACACTGCTAAAACAAACACTTCCTATGTTTTCAATCTATGCAACAAGAATGACTGTCCATTCAGAGGCCAATGCCTCTAAAGCAGTTGTGTTATTGGTCGATGGTGCTAATTTACTCTCAATACCAAGTTTCGCTTAAAAAAAAAAAATCTATTCACACTGAAAAACTGTAATATGAAACTACAAATTCCACGAACAGGGATGCCATTTTTTCTTGCAAATGTATGCTGACAAAAAAGCTAGTGTAACCAAGCTTCAGCTCTGGAGGTGAGTGAACCTGAAGCATTTCTGTGTTTATTCAGCGCAGTCTCGCTCTCTTCATGGAGTGCTTCCAGATGACAGGATCTGGCTGGAAGCATGATCGCTATATAAACACACAATCAGCGTGCATTCGAAACACTCTGGAATCTTACGTAATCCTTGTCTTTCCAGGTCCTTCAAAGTCATTTCCTGGAAGTTCTTGTGTGATGCCCTGTTCTGTAAGGGTTCTAAGCACTGCTGGAACTGCTGAAGCTTCTCACGAGCTTGATGTTGAAAAATAGAGACCATTCATTGAAAAAAAATGACATGAAATTAGCTACGGCTTCCCTGTCAGAGACGATTCGGGTTGATGGTGGAAAAGTCTGAGGTTACACACACTGTTGAGTGTGTAAAATATTTGGATAAGAAGCTACAGTGAGGCCACTTAAAACCATTCCAGACACACTGGAAAAGTGTGTGAAGGCATGTGTCTGCTACTGAGTTAGCATTTACCAGACATTACACCAGACTGCTCGCTGTAGATTTTTGTAGGAAGGCTTCTTCCTGTCACTTCTCTTCGTAATTTGACAGTAATCCGGCTACTGGTGAGTCAAGGACTTATAAAAAAAAAAACAAAACACTGAGTGTCTGTAGCTGTTCATGTCAGTCTAACCACAGAGCCATGAAGCCACTTGGCTGCCATCTTGATTCTCCTTCTTCACATTATAAAAGAAATGCTTTTCTATTAACATAATGTAAAATATTCCCTAACACCAACTGATTTTTTTTAAAGAAAAAAAGAATGTCATTCATTTTAACTTCACCTAATAAACAGAAAAAAGCAAAAAATATATATATAACAGATTGTTTCCCACAGCCCAAATTAATCTCAAATAAGAAGTTGTATAATGGGACCCTAATCTTTATCTTGCCTCCTATTATCTTTTATGTTACTGGTATCATAACAACAGAGGCGCCAACATTGCTAAAAAGAAAATGCTAGCAGGCAGAGAGAAAAAAACCAGAAATTTACCATAAAAACCCAGCATATACTAGTGGACAGTGGACGAGACAGCAAATTTTTTCTCACTGATAAGACCACAGTCCTGCCCACTTAGTTTTTAACTGGTTCACAAGACAGAGGCTCGTAAATTCACAGGTCAAAGTCGGCTTGAAGTGAAAGTAACAGCTACCAGGAGCAAACATTTGTCTTACGCATCCTGTGTCCTTTCCCATTCAGTGAATTTGCATTTCCACCTGGTGCAATTTATTCACATTTGGTCTGACAACTGTTTTAGCTGAGAAACGGGAAAAGCATAGTTTTCAGTTGTCTCACATATTCCTGTAGCAAGGAGCCAAAAACGGTAAATGCTACGGCTAAACCGTAGGTGTTTCTATTTATGGCTAGAAATTCAAAACAGACAGACTGGACCATGCGGACACAGCATTGCAAAGCAGTACACACTACATGAGGTTTAGATGTGTGTGTGTGTGTGTATACCTCTGCTCTGTAGGCCTTTCTGAATCCTAAGGACTGTGTGGGTGCGAAGGCTCTTCCAGGAACACAGCTGATCACGGCAGGCATTCCATAGGCGCACGTGGCATTCGGATTTTTCTCCACTTTCAGTGCTTTGCCCATCCTACACTCGGTCAGATGAGCTTCATTTCCTGTGCAGTTCACTGAAAAACCAAAGTAGTCCTTCCTCCTGCGCTGAGAAAGAAGCCTACGAGAGGATAGAAATGATATTTCATTTTTATTTTTCTTAAGGGACTCTCGGTTTAACACTTTATTTTACAGAACCATAAAGCATGCCTTATAACATAACAGCTAGTGAGTCTAGAGTACTAAATATGGTACTCATAATAACATGGGGTTAATCATGAGAATGAAATCCATGGGCTGTAATCATATTTAGTATTTAAGTAAATACAATTATTTGATCAAAAATCCAGTCCTTGCTTTCATCACTGTTTCAGCACGACTCACAAAAACATACAAACACATACAGCAATAAAAAGATGACAGCTAAAGAGGCTGTAATTTGCTTTTTGTTTTTACATCCATGATAGCTATCACTAAAATGGATGTCTGGAGAAAACACCTAATCTCACTGACAATGGGTGGAGAGAAATCAAAAGAGAATGGGTTAACAAGGACGGGAAGTTGTGACCATATAAGGAAAGCACAAGCCAAAAGAGCCTGAGTGTGGCGAGACAGAATCGGGCGAGACATGACAGTGAGTGTCAAATACTCAAAAATGTTACTAGTTTCTGAAAGTAAATTAAAAGAAGAATTCAAACCACAACAGCATCCCCAAGTCTGTCTATTTTATATGCACCCAAGAACGATAACAGCAAGCGTTCCTTTGAGGAATTTAGTTAGCTTTAACTGCTTTCAAAAGACAACGAAACTGACCACGCATAGGGTTTAAAAGTCACAGCTATTTAGAGTGCACTTCAAATTAATCTCTACACCCCCTATTCCCTACAAACAGCACAGTACACAGTGCATTATGGGTATTTTGTACCTGTTTAGCTATATCATTTGGACCCTACTGGACCCTACTGGAAATGCTCCACATCCTGACTACAAAATAGGCTAAATTTTAAACAATGCACTGTATAGTAGGGCTGGCCAACATGGTGATGATCTGATGTTGAAAATATGGAATCTAAAAAAAACTATATACTGTAGGGTTACAATTTTAACAGATTTTATATTTTTCCTCCTCAGTGGAGGAAATGTTTCTATTGAATGTTTGACATTAAATAAAATTAGATTTCAAACTCAACCTATATATAGGGATATATATTGTTTACTGTAAAAATGTCTTTTTTTTTTTTTTTAGACATTTGTCATATGGCCAACCCCTACAGGTGTGATTTTGGACATACAGTGAGCTTCACTTCTGACTGAACAGTGAGAGGTGTTGTAGGTGGCAGACATTTAAAAACACTGCAGTGTACGTAAGTATTTATAAGACAACACTGTTGTTCTAAAAATATGTCTAAAATATGTCTACACAACCCCCACTATACACACACACACACACACACACACACACACACACACACACACACAATCCGTGGTTCATTTCAGAAATAATTCAAAGCTTGTTCGGTTTCTGTAACTACTATTTAGCTATAAACATTAACCTTTGGAGTATTTTCAATGAATGACAGTGTGCTGAGAGGTCACTTAGTCATCACACACAGGAAGGTAAATGTTGTTTTAATATTATTTTGATATCAGATGCAGGCCAATCTGAACTCTGGTTTTTGTTAAACTCTGGAAAATGTCCTGTTCTCTTTCACTCTACAGATTTATGCTCTCCTCTTGAACTGCACTTACATATTTGTCATATCTCAAATAACAAGCAGCACATTTTCAAAGCATAACTTCGAGCCCAGAGCAGTAAAACCCTAAACACTGACAATCACATGCTCAAGATTTTAATATGAAGTATTTCACATATTATAGAACTGCAAACTGTGTAACTGGGTAACCTCGTGCTACCTAAGTCTAAAGTGATACTGACTCGATCCCTCACCTAAACCCTCACCTATCACATACTCTGCGAGCTGACAGAATGATGGAAGAGCACTTACAATGGGTAAAAGGGTACTCAGGCAAGGAAAAGTGGACGAGAGTTTTTATTATGAGATTTATTATGAGTTGTGACAAGGAGAAATTTATTGGTAGAACTTCTAAAATCTAACTAAATTAGACTCCAATGTAATTTCAATTAGGTAATCATTTAAATCATTATTCTAAATCTAATTTATATGTACATAATGTTATGTAAGTACTTTCTGTAATTTTATATATTTTATATCCATATAATTTGAATGATTTATAGGAATTTTTAGATGAGTTAGAATGTTCACATTTTTAGGTATTAGTTAAATAATTGATATAACACATAGGAAATTCAAGTTTGTGAATTAAATAATCAGTAAACATATAGCACTAATAATGG